GTGAATGGCATGGATAATTGAATCGTTAGTGCCAAAGTTATTCTCTGGCCCGAGTACCATTGTCGTCACATATTGACTGTCAACTTCAACCACAACCTGTCGAATTCTCAGGTCCCAGGCTAATTGGATTCCCTCCGTAACCGTGCCGACCCCAATGTTCATGAAGAAGCCCTCGATCCAACTTCCTTGCGCGTCCCGAATCAAACTGCAGCACTGCAGAGGCCCGTGGTTCGGTTTAGGGCTCCATCCGTATTTACTTTGCACCACCCCGAGTCCGGTGGGGCCCATCGAATCTTCCCCGAAACATGCAGCGATGCACCCACTTTTACGTATGCCTCAGCTGCCGTTTCATAAGAATCAGCGCGACTGATGATTTCGGGACACCGAGGTTCAATCACTAGTGACTGACCATTGAATATCCGGTCGTTCCGCCAGCGCCATGCACTCCAAGCAGCAAAGCGAAGATACTACTCCAATTTTTAACGTACTTCTAGCTTATATATATATATATATTATATAAATATGTTAATTTAATGTAATTTTATTACATCTATACATATTCTATGAAGAAAATAACATAAATCATGCGTGGGATGACCTAATCAGAAGCGGGTCGATCAGCCATAAATACATAATAAAAATACATGTTTATATTGTAAAATTTCATTTTTTTTTTAGAGTGGCATTTCATTTGAAAAAGTATGCATGTATATGTTAAAATAGTACGTCTGCTTAACTAAGCATGCATAACACTAATCCTACTAATATATTTGATATTGTATACCAAATAGAGTGGTTAAAGCTCGTTAAAGCTCGAGTTTAGATTGGACCGTTAAGCCTCATTAAAGTAATATTCTAATTTTTTTTTTTAGTTTAACTCGTTAAAGTTCTAGTTCAATTAATGTTAGATTAAGCAAACAAATTGGGCTCAACTTGTTCACTCACTAATTTAATTCACACGCACAAAACACGACTTTCTCACATATATATATGCTTGACTCTTGGATTAGACAATCACTTGTTCACTCACTAATTTCCTCTCATTTCAATACTAAGTAAAAAAATAAAATAAAAAATTGAGCCAATTAAGAATAACCTGTTTTTCACAAGGGTTTTCAATTAAAAGGACCTATTTTTCAAAGTAATTTCTGCCCAAATTAATCTTAAAAGGAGTATTTACTTTTCCAGTAAAAATTGAAAAATATATAAAATTTTCAATTTAATTTTCAATTAAATCAACCTATAGGTGGGTGAAGTTTGACCGGTCACCGGTAGCTCTTTTGACCATTTGACTTTTAGCAGTCTAACAAGCCTCAATCTTTTGATACATTACACATATTCCTATATTAATTTCCCATAAAAACAATAATCAATTAGTAAAATTAATAATATAATTAAAATTACAAATAACTATCTCAATATATTTATATCACTTGTAAAATATGGCAGAGTGCCATAAATTATATATCCGACATTTATGTACATACATTGTATTCATAAGATATATACGCACTTGTAGAATTTTTTTTTTTAAATAAAATAGGCAATTCAAGAAAATCATGTAATTCGACAAAAATATATTCCAATATAATTTCAATCATAATTTCAACAGACATTCAAATGCGATTATTTCAGTTATAAGTTTTTAAAAGATTCCAACATTTATAGCCCCGAAAAAAAAAAAATCATGCAGAAATTGCATATATATATTTCAAAGAAAATTTCCTACAATCGGAACAAAAAGATTCAATAAAATACGTTAATGTCGATTTCTCTTGAAAATATTTCAATGAAACTATATTATTAAAATTTCAATTGAAATATTTTACCGTTGAATTTTTTAGTGATTTTTTTTTTTTTGGTAGTGAAATTAATATTTATGTATATATACAATAATTTAATAATCCTACATGGTGGTGGGGCAACGATATTTACGGCTCAAAAAACTCTCTTATCCTACATAATTATATATACTTGTAGTCTCAAAGACTTAAACGTTGAAGTTGAATTCTTCAAGTTTTATATTTTATAGACTAATTAATAATTATAGTATAGTATTTATTTATGAATACATTAGTATTTAAAAAAAAAAACAATATTCATATTTTTGTATTCACATAATAATATATTATATATATTTATAGCAAATTGGGCATTGACATTTGTGTACAAGAGTGTGTAGCTGGATTGGATGAAGCCATTTAATTTGAATTAGTTTAAGCAAGTCAAATAGTGCTGCCTCTCTTTTATAAAAGAAGAAGAAGAAGAAGACTATATATTGCTCATGTAATTCAGATCACATATTATTGAAAAAAAAAAAAAAATTAAAAACAAGATTTTTAGAGAGAAATAGAGAGAAGAGAGTAACTATGGAGAGTTGTTTTATGAAGGATGAGAACAAAGGGTTTGAATCTAATGGTGACGAAGAAAGTTGCGGAAAAGAGGTCGTTCTTCAGGTACTTTTTTTTTCGTAAAATTCGAATATTTTTGATAATTAGTACTATGTTTTATAATTTATAGGGAAAAGTTGGTTTTTCTATATACAAAATTATTGCTCAAGGTTAATTAATAAGGTTATTATGTGTAGAAATGAAAAATCAATATATATATATATAACCAAATTATATATGCATCTTAATTTTTTCTGTGATCATATATATTATACTGTAACATATGTATATATAATTGTATAATTTTGATGGCTTCTCAAAGTTTAGTTATATATGTTTAAAAAAAAAAAAAAATTCAGGTTGGAGGTGGAAAAAGAGATGAGATGAAGGCAGCTTCTCCCAATCTGAAGAATTTCATCAACTCTAATAGCAAACAGGTAATTAAAACCTATAAATATTTTTCAAAAAAATAAAATAAAATAATGATATATATAGCTATATACTACAACATATACACACACATATATATATTATACACTGTGTATTTTCTGGATAATGAGGTTATAAATTATTATTCTTATTAAAATCATAATTATCATTTAATTTGATTTAGTTCTGTTTAATTTGCCTGTGTTTATCATATATATGATATGATACAGTTGGTATTTCATGATAAGTAGCAAAAAAAATAATTAAAATAAAATTAGTATCTAATGTTAATATTTCATGCATGAAAATTATCACAGCCCTCCTCATATCTGACAATCCTTTAATATTTAGCCTAAAAATAACAGATTAAACTTTTCAAACCCTATTAGATTAGGGTTCTCTTATACATATATAACATATAGTCTTGGGAAGTCATGTCCTAGCTGTGGCAATAGTATTTACTCCAGTTTGGCGCTTTAATTTCGATAGGGTCCGATTGTCGTAAAGAAGATGGAGAGATCGTCGCCTGAATCTGGATCGAGATCATCTTCATCTGCCAAAAGACAACAGGTAAATTCGAACATCATTCGCAACTTGCTAGATATATATAAGACAATTAAAGATGTTATAGTGTGTTAATTAATATTAAATGATATGAAATTAAACAAATCAAGAGTATTGACATGTAAGTAACTAAAATATATATATACTTGCAGCTAGATGATGAACTAGGATCTTCGAAAGCTGAGTTGAACGAGGTCATGGAGGAAAATCAACGGCTCAAGATGTACTTGGACCGGGTTCTCAAAGACTATCGAACCCTACAAATGCAATACCAAGACATTATCCAATGCGAACCCAAAAAATCTCCGAATTCCCTAACAATTAATCCAGCTCATCATCATCACGACCCAATGGAAGAATCCGGTGAGCTTATTTCCCTTAGCCTCGGAATAAGCAGCCCAAGTGACCGAACAAAAGACGAGCAAATTCAAAAAACTCCAAGAATCGAAAATAATGCCAATGTTCATGAAGGTGGTGATCATGACAAAGAGGGACTAACATTGGGCCTCGATTGCAAGACATTCCAAGTGCCACCACCTCAAAAGTTATCGGTCGAAAATAGTTCTCCTAACCATAGCCTTGAAAATAGCTTGGATAATGAAGGAAAAGAAGAAGGCGGAGAGAATTGGTCGGGTAATAATAAGACGAAGAGTAATGTGAGGGAAAGTGGAGAAGACGAACTTACACAACAAAACCCGGCTAAGAGGGCTAGGGTTTCGGTTAGAGTTAGATGTGACACACCAACTGTAAGTTAATTTAGTTTTTTTCATTTTGTGACACATTTTGATATAGTGAGTTTCTGTTATATTAAAATTTTCATTCAAATTTCAGATGAATGATGGTTGCCAATGGAGGAAATATGGACAGAAGATTGCTAAAGGGAATCCATGCCCTCGAGCATACTATCGTTGCACGGTCGCACCATCTTGCCCTGTGCGAAAACAGGTAAAAATTGTTAAAAAAATAAAAAATAAAAATAATTAGCATAACCCTAATGTACCTTTACAATCACAAGTTCATCAAGTATTTAATTTTTTTTTTCACTTGTATAATTATTATGTATTGATCTTTAACCATATAGGTCCAAAGATGTGCCGAGGACATGTCGATCTTGATCACGACATATGAGGGAACACACAACCATCCGCTCCCGATCTCGGCCACCGCCATGGCCTCTACCACCTCAGCGGCCGCCTCCATGCTAACATCCGGACCGTCAAACTCCTCAATTGGGCCGGGCCCATTATCTTCTGTCTCTGCCTCTGGACACCTAAACGGGCTAAACTTCTACCCGTCTCACGATAACTCGAGATCAAAACCCTTCTACCTACCGAACACCTCGATTTCATCCACCCCTTCCTACCCAACCATAACCCTCGATCTCACTTCAAGCGCCGCCACATCATCGTCCCATTTGACCCGTTTGGCCAATATTCCACCGAGATACTCGACCACAAACCTCAACTTCAGCGAGTCGAACGCGCTCCCGATATCGTGGACCAATGGGACTCTAAGCTACGGTCCGTACCAAACGATAAACAAGAACCAAACCGCGAGTAATACTAGCTCCCTCAACTTCGGAGCACAACCCTACGAAACCCTTTACCAAACCTACTTACAAAAGACGAATACCACAAACCCTAGCCAGCAAAACATGACATCTCCCGAAGCTATTGCGGCGGCCACTAAAGCAATCACATCCGACCCGAGTTTCCAATCGGCTCTTGTAGCCGCTCTTTCATCGATCATCACCTCGAATGGCAATAACGCTAGTGCAATGATGCAAAACCAAAATGAAGGCGAAAAATCGAGTCAAATCAGTGATGTCAAGATTAGTGAGCCTAACTTTCCTATCCTATCGAGCTTCCCATCACCGGCCTCAAACGCGAATAAATGTGCGCCGAGCTTTATGAACAATTCGTCGTCTAATACGAGTACGATTCAACCTGCAGGCGGATTGATGTTCCTTTCAACTCCATTTTTGAATGCAAAGAGCAAGTCAAGTTCACCAAGTGATCATGGTAGGGATCAAGCTGCTTGATTTGATTGCATGGATTGAATTTTTTCCTTGATTACCATGAACTTTATGATTGTTTCTAATACTCATTGTAGATGGTGTGGGGTTTGATGTTATGATGCCAATTGTGAATGGACCATTTTGTTTGTTTGTTTGTTTGTTTTTTTTTTTTTTTTTTTTTTTTTTTTTTAACTGGTTTTGGAAAGAATTTGTGCATATATGTATTGTGATTATGCTGGTGAAGATTGAAGAATGTTCACCAGCTTTCTTTTAGACTTATGTATGACTTTGTGCTGCAAATTAAATGTGGATAATTTGTTTACATAATTTGAGAATGCCACCAAATAGGTGGTTGGCCCAACTAGTTCAGTTGTACCCTTCTTATTTCAGTGTTTTTCTTTTTAATTATTATTTACAAATTAAAATATTTGTTATCAAACTTACATCGAATTATTAACAACAAATCTGATATTAAATTTTAACTGTGTAATATAATAATATTGACAAGCAAATGCCACAGAATAATAAGGCAAGCAACAACAAAGAAAACCCAACAAGTTTTGAAATCTCACAAACCACACCACTATTATATCCTATACAATAAAACCCTGCTTTAAAATTAAGATCAAGCACCACACAGAAGTTTATACGGTTTTGCCTAGATCTCGATTCGACCAATCTCTGGCATCTCGGACGCAACCTTAAATGAAAAACACCAAAAGCGTGTAATGCATATAAAAAAATGCGATATCTCGAGAAAAAAAAAAAATTAATCCGGAAGAAGTAAAAGAGAATTACTCTGTTTTTATAACTTTACCATGTTTTCTTTGCCATCTTCATGGGTTTCCTCTGCGGGAGATTTCAGAATAAGAGAATAAGCAACTGCCAACACAAATATAAAAGGAATAACTCAAGAAACATAAACAAAAAAAGATACCCTGAGGACTAGTACTTCAAAGGACACCTTTAAGTCGATTTGTTCAGCAGAAAGCCCCCATGGAGCTTCTTAAGGGTGCACACGTATAAAAGACACAACTTATTTGTAATTTTGGAAATGTAACTAATCATCATTTTTGTAATTAAACTTAAACTCGGGTAAGGTTTTGTAGTATTTCGAAACATTATTGTTCTTCAAAATTATTTATAAGAGTGCAATCACCTTCCTCTTGAACTGATTTCTTTCCCTGCTTCTTCACTTTGTCCTTGACCTGAGAAGATTCTTGCTTTGTCGGCTTCTGGTTTTTCTTTTGTACACCTCGACCTTTGACTTCCAAATCAGGCTTAGAGCTAGCGGCCCTCTTCGGCACCGACCTTTTGGTAGTCTTCACAGTATTATCCTTCTCAGAATCCTCTCTACTTTCTTTCTTGACTTGCTCAGTCTCATCAGCATTTATTATTATGTCCACAGGCTTTTGCTGCTCCTTCTCAGCATCCGTTATAGAAGATGAAGAGCTTTTAACATCATCGTCTGAAAAAGGATTGCCCTCCGAAGGCACCTGAAAACAGTTTCCAGATTCCTGGGATGGCACAAAGCTTTCTGGAATCTTATACCCTTCGAAAACCACTTTCACTAGATCTCCAAATTCAGAAAGGTCATGGCGGCGCACGTATGACTTTAGTTCGTCAGTCAATCGATGTATAGGCTGCAATATTTTTTTAAAAAGAAATCACAATAATGAATAGATTAGCCAAGCATAATACTTAAAAGTTAAAAAGGTCTACTTTTCCCCATCTAAAAGCCTGCAAGTACATAGCATACATGGTTGAATGAACTATCCGTATTGAGTTTAACAAGAAAAATAAAACTTAGAGCTTTGATCCTGCAGTTAACATCAGTGCCTTAATAATTCAAATTTGAAAACATTTCAATCATCCCCATCAATTCATAAAAGTACTATAGCCCTTCGCATATGTAACATAGAATTAAACCTTAAGGGGTTAGTGTAGTGCTTGAAACTATAAAACTTCTCATGGGCAGTTTTAATAGATCACCCAAATAACTTCTGAAAAGCCAAGAACACAATCAGACAACTAGAATGAACAATTATCCCATTCCCATACCTCACACCCAGCCTCCAGAGCAAGCTTAAAGAAACCAAGGGAGATAGAGTGCTTAGCAGCAGATTCAGACAGCTTAATCTGAGACAGCCAATAAGACGCAGAAGATAGAGTACTGAATTTCTTTCGAGCCGACAACCTTGAAATGTCAGAACGTGGCGTCTCACTTTTTCCCTGGCTGATGGCAGACCTCTGTGTTCGCGTCTCAGAAATCGGAGTGATACTGCCGACAGATTTTGGAGTTGGGGTGAGATTTTGTTTTTTGTTAGGCGCCGAGAGCCGCCTAGGAGGTTTTGCCGAAGATTTCTCCTTCGCAGAGAGGTCGAGAAGACCTACACTTTTGCTCACACTAGATGGAACCCTTGCCCTGAATATGAATATCAACAAAATAACAAAACATCACCACCCATCAATACAAAATTCATACTACATTTCTTAGTGAGAGAAACATGTTCATGCCCTATGTCAAATAAATACACAAGTCTAGATTGAGATCCTTTATGTTAATTAGAATTTAAAAGAACACATAAAACAGTCCTTGAAAGATTTCCGGAATGTGGATTTCAATCAACGCAGAATTCAATGAATTTATCAATTCGCTGCAACAGCCACATTCCTCAATTCAAACCACATTAAATAAAACCAAACAAATATTCTCTTCCAATTTCATTACACAGGGAGCAGTTATTCCTCATCGGACGACGCCAAATTGAAAAGCAAATACTAAAATATTTCACAAGTCACTAAATAACCCAAATCAAAACAGAGAGAAGGGAAAAAACAACAGAAACAAGCAATTCATACAAACTGAAGCACCTTTTTGCGGCGGAGATGGGGTTTGAGGAGTCGGCCAACGGCAGTTTCTCTTCCTTCTGTTTGGTTGCCGATCGGAGAGGATAACGGAGGAGCCTCGAGGTCGATCTACCTGTTTCACCAAAACGTAGACGGAAAATCGAACATCGTAAAAAGCCCATACAATTCACGTCACTGAAACTTTCATCCTTATCCTCAAAAAACTGTAGATAACGTTCTCAAAAAATTACCAGAGGCAGAGGATTGGTCTTTGGCTGCAGAATCTTCCATGAAAACTGAGATTTTCTTCTGGCAAGAACTCAAAGGGAGAAGATAATGTCGAATTTTAACTGAAAAATGATGATGTGATAGAACAGGAGAAAACTGATAGGGTTTTGTTTGTGTTGATATGTGTGTGTAATGAATATATAGTGTACGTCTTTAGTGGGCGGGAAAAAGTGAGGCTTCATTAAATTTGAATTAAAAATTAAAAATATAAATGGTCAAATTAAATTGAAAAAAACAAATTGACAAAGAAAAAAAGAAAAGGGCAGAGAATTATGCGAAGAACGGTTATTTGGATGGAGGATGATGGCCTTTTTGAATTTCAAATTTCAAATAGACGCTGCCTCGGCCCGTTTTATTTTGATTATTA